GGGTGGGATTGAAACCACTGCAGTGAAGGAGGGGGTGTGGGGGGATGTGAGAGGGTGTGGGGTTTGTGGTGGGTGTAAGGGGTTTGTGAGTGTGGAGTTTGTGGGGGGTGTTCGGGGGGGAGCACCACATGCCTGTCCTCCCTCATCCACACCCTGTGGTGCACAGCCTTCAGCGCTGGCAGCAGCAGCCAGCTGGGCCATCAGAGCAGTCATAGCTCATAGCACGCTCAGCCCTATGGCAGTACAGCACCATCTTATTCAGGTCTGTACATGCCAAACAGACCTGACCCAATATGACCCAGCCAGGTCTGCCCTGTTAGGTCACCTTTGGACAGGAGGTGGTGGCAGGAGCTGCCCTGGTCTTGTCCAAAGGCATGGTAGCAGGGCAGGCCAGGCCAGGCCAGGCCAGACCGGGTTGGGTCAGGCTGGATCCATTCAGCATGTACAGACCCTGGGTAAGGCATCACTATCCCACCACAGGGTTGTGCCTGCTGTGGGCCATGACTTCCCTAACGGCCCAGTTGGCAGCTGCTGCCAGCACCAGGGGATGTGTGCCACCCCCCTTCAAACCCTGCTACAAATGCCCCCCCCCACAGACCTCATACACCCTGCCCCCATAAACTACACATCCACCCACACACCCCACACTGACAACAGCCCCCCCCCCCCAGAAACCACATGTCCCTGCTTACTGGGGACAGCGCCTGTGTCCGGCTCATATTTCAGCCTTGCCCCACTCCTATTTGCCTGAGCATGCTGAGGCAACATGCTGCGGCATCAGCAAGACCATAGAGATGCTCTGACTGGATGCCAGAGCGTCTCTCTGGAGGACTCAGTGTCTCGTAGCCTCAGGGCACAATCCAAGAGCATGACCTGTGCTGCTTTTTTTTTCACAGATTTTTTTTTATACTGGGATTTCTCAGTATCAAATTTAGAGCTTGCACAGCAAATATGCAGCACGGAAAACATTCTTCATTCTTAGTGTGCCTCTTGCATGAGATGCCACAACAAGCATGTGCGTGCTCGTCTCTACATGCCCTTATAAATCAAGCACTGAAGGGGAGGCTGAGCCTGTGGGCAAATGCAACTCTCTTGGAGGTATTCTATGCAGTTCCACAGAACAGTGAAAGCCAGGGAACAATTAAGGAATACGTATCATGGAATCATACAAAATTAAGGTTGGAAGGGTCCTCAGGAGGTCATCAAGTCCAACTGCTGCTCAAAGCAGGACCATCCCCAACTAGATCATCCGAGCCAATGCTTTGTTTATCCGGGCCTTAAAAACCTCCAAGGATGGAGATTCTATAACCTCTCCAGGAAGCTTGTTCCAGTGTTTTACTACCCTCCTAGTGAGAAAGTCTTTCCTAATATCTAACCCAAACTTCCCTTGCTGCAACTTGAAACCATTGCTCCTTGCTCTGTCATCTGCCACCACTGAGAACAGTTTAGTTCCTTCCTCTTTGGAACCCTCCTTCAGGTAGTTGAAGGCTGCTATTAAATTCCTCCTCAGTCTTCTCTTCTCCAGACTAAATAAGCCTAGTTCCTTCAGTTTCTCCTCATAAGTTCCGTGACCCAGCCCCCTAACCATTATCATTACCCTCCACTGGACTAATTCAATTTGTCCATATCCTTTCTGTAGTGGGGGGCCCAAAACTGGACACAGTACTCCAGATGTCGCCTCACCAGTGCCGAATACAAGGAAAGAATCACTTCTCTCAGTCTGCTGGCAGCACTCCCACTAATGCAGCCCAGTATGCCATTAGCCTTTTTGGCAGCACTGTTAGCTCGTATTCAATTTATTTTCCATTGTAACCCCCAGGTCCTTTTCTGCAGAACTTCTGCTTAGCCAGTCAGTCCCCAGTCTGTACCAATACATGGGATTGCTCCATCCGAAGTGCAGGATTTTGCACTTGTCCTTGTTGAACCTCATGAGATTTCTCTTTGTCCAATCCTCCAGTGTGTTGAGATCTCTCTGAATCCTAGCCCTAGCCTCCAGTGTATGTACTACTCCCCGCAGCTTGGTGTCATCCACAAACTTGCTGAGGGAGCACTCCATCCCACTTCTCAGGTTGTTGATGAACATATTGAACAAGACAGGCCCCAGGCACTTGAGACTGGCTGCCAACTAGACACTGAACCATTGTTTACTTCCCTTTGAGCCCAAAATGAAAGGTTTTCTATCCACCTCACAGTGCATTCACCCAACCTGTCCTTCCTTAGCTTGCTTGCAAGAATGTTGTGGGAGATAGTATCAAAAGCCTTGCTAAAGTCAAGGTATATCACATCCACTCATCTCCCCATATCCACAGAGCCAGTCATCTCATCATAGAAGGCAATCAGTTTGGTCAGGCATGACTTGCCCTTGGTGAATCCAAGCTGACTCTTCTGAATCACCTTCTTCTCCTCCCAGTGCTTAGAAAAGGATTCATGATTTTTCCAGGGACTGAGGTGAGGCTGGCCAGTCCATAGTTCACTGGATCCTCCTTCTTCCCTTTCTTAAAGATGGGCACTGTATTTGACCTCTTCCAATCCTCCAGGACCTTTTCTGTTGACCACAGATTTTCAAAGGTAATGGCCGGTGGCTCTGCAATCACATCAGTCAACCCTTGGGTGCATAGAGTCTGGCCCCATGTACTTGAGATCAACACCCATAGCTCCATATCCTGGAGTCATGTCATCACCTAACAACCTCAGCTTTCATTTTCAAACATAGGAAATCTTTGACTTTTCTGGTTGTGGAGCTCTGCAACATGTGGACTACACCATTTATCCCAATAGGTTGATAATTCCAAGTCCCACTGTTCTGTGAGGATTTTTCCCTATCAGAGGGGAGGATTCTATGTTACAAGAGAAGAGTAGAGAAAGCCCAGTGCACTCACCTGAACAGATACTGGGAAGTAATAAGCATTAACTGGTAAGCACCAGAAAAGTTAATATCAGGAGGTCCCTGCTACCACTTCTGCCTTCAAACTGAAGCCTTCTTTGAGCCTGTGGGAGGACCCTATGAATGGACAATATTCTGCAGCACAAGCCCACAGCTATGTTTCTCTTGAGAAACATTTGTTGCTGCTTATATATATATAGATGTTTTTACTCCCTTCAGAGTAAACAGACTCTTTCTCCCCATCATGACAGAGGTTGAAATCATTGGTAGAGAGTCATGGAGTGTTCATCCTGTTATTCCAACAGCATAGCACAGAGTCTTTAGTCTGTGTCATTAGGAATCCTGGTTCACTTTTTTCTACTATGCAATGGCTACATTCAGCAATAGAGTATGAATACATTTTCTCCATTTAAAAAAAATATAATAACTTTGTGTTCTTGCCTCTTTTGTCAGGAGGCCTCCTCTGCTGTCACTACCTTATCTCCCCTGAGAGTTTTGTGCCATTATAGTCCTCTTGTGCTGCATGCACATTCCAGGTTCAGTTTGAGTAAGTCAGCTATCATGACATGTTTTTTGTTCTATGTGATGATATACTGAAATGTGAAACCGAAGCAGGAGACACTGGAAAAGTCTCTAAAATCCTTTCTCCTGTTCTTCTACTTTCTCTTGCTGTTTCCTTTCCTTCTGAGAGTGTTTATTTATTTATTTATTTATTTTGCTCTCTGCCCAGCCTTTAATGATACTGCAAAGGAGTTCCTAAACCCTGTGCTAATTCCCTGTAGAGCATTTATATTTGGGTTGATGTAGATTCCAGATTGCCCTGTGTATACTTGGTCTCAGAGAACCTCGGCTGCTTTTAAAAACTGATTTATGCCAGTAGCATGCAAAGGGAAAAGCAGAGAATGAAATGGGGAGAAATACATAATCTTTCAAGGATGAAGAATTCAAAAGGACATGGTAACAATATTCTGTTCTCCAAGTCAGTATGGAAGCAATTTGTTCAAAAACAAAAAAACAAACACAAAAAGGGAAAGGCTATATTTCTCCAAAGGAAGAAAAAAAATCTTGTGTATCACTCACCAATTTCCTTCTTGCTTCTCTTTCCTCAAAGAGACAATTTTCATTTCTAGAGAGCATTAGCCTAATTTTGCTGTTTATTTTAACACGTATCAATATTCTTCTGATAGCATTACTATAGACTCCCATGCCTGATACTTGAGCTGATTGATTTGTAGGTGCCAGATTTGTTTAAATTTGAAAGACTTGGCTAGTGTCAGACTTGTTTAATGAAAGAAAAATAACTTAAATGAATCATCAATGTTTAAGATCCTGATTATTGTTTGGATTCAAGCAGAAACTTGCTGGCTTCTCCTCACAAATGTTTGCAATCACATAAGACATTCTCTAACACTAACAGAACAATGTAGGTGCACCCTTTATGAAAAAGAAAATTTATGGGACAAACAACAAGTAAGTAAAGTCATTATGTATTGTCACTGGTGGGCCACATTTGGAAACACTTACTTGGGGATTATTCAATTCTCCTGAGGCAAAGCTTGTGGAAGGGTTAGCTGAGCAAAGTCTGAACAAAAAAAACCACCCAGATCTCTTTAAAATATATTACCTACCTAAGTGTTAGCTGTTTAGTTTCATCAAACAATATTCTCGTTATCAGGAAAAAAGGCATAGGGGGAAGTTCACAGTGTAAAGTGACTTACTCTGAAAATCTGCTCCCTAATGTGCAGGGGTAGCATGGTGACAGTATAGCAGCTGACATAAGTGTCCAGATAAAAAATGCCCAAAATTTCCAATACACAGAACCATGATAGCAGCTTTTCTAAAATAAAACAGAAAAACATAAGATCAAGTTTTGTGTGGTTCTTTTAATTACAGAGTATCTGACTTTAGCATCAGGCCATGCATAACAGTATGGGATTTGTGTATACTTAGGTATTAATAGGTTTGTTTTTCAGTTCAACAGCAATGCAAGCTCAGAAATTCTTCAGTGTCCTGACCAGTATGGGCCAGAGAGAGTATTTGTCCCGCTATTTTGATTAATTTTGTTTCACTTTTGTCAAATTTTTCAATGGAAGGTTTGAATTTTCATTAAGAAATAGACAACTCAACTCTCAAAAAAAATTTCATTTTTGCCAAAAACATCCAAAAATTATTCAAAGCTGAAAAAGTATGGGACTCATTCAAAAAATTTAAGTTAGGTTTTCCTTCTTGCTGATTTTTTTTTTCATAAAAAGACTATGATTTCCATAACATTTTCCATTCTCTTGAAAAAAGGGTGATGGAAGATGTCCAACCACCTGTAGTCTTTTCTCTGCAATTACAGGGAAATGCACTTTAGTTCTCTGAGGAACATCATTTAGACTTCCAATATCTAAATCTGTATTGCAGGGGCTTGCAGTGTGTGAGGTTCTAAATGAGGATGGTTGAGGGTAAATAAGCTAAGGAGATTTTTATTATATGTATATATTTAAAATATGCATTTGCTTTTGATTTCTAGGCCGTAGAAGGCTCCAATCCTGCAACTATAGTTCATTAGAGATAGAGTATGTCAAGAGCACTCATGAGCAATTTGATTACAATTAGCTTACTATTATGAAATGTTTATATACCAAGCAATCCCCGTGACTAGAACATGGAAAAATTAGGTCCTTTGCATGTACTTTGACCTCTCTCCATCCACGGTGGCTTGTAACTTCCCCTGGTGTAATCACGTAAGAGAAGGTCTTGCTTTTAAGCACACATATCTCATCAGAAACCTGGTTAATTCAGGATATAAAGAAGCCACAGTTTAAAGCTCAAAGAAAACTCAGACAACCTGAACTGACCTTAAAATAAGTCATTTCTGAGTCCTTAAATCTTAGTAGACTGATAACCACAGAACTAAAATTCTGTGCTTTCAGCAATTTTATAAGAGGTATTGAGTAGCTCTTTATATATAACTAGCCAACTGCCTGTCAAAAATGATGGCCGGGGGGGCGGGGGGGAGCAGGCAGGGATGGAGTGCTTCCACCCACCACCCCATGCTGCTGCTGCCTCCCAGGAGCAGGGAGGGGGGGAAGCTTGCCCCACCGTCCCCTCCATCCCCCTCTGCCAGCACCCTGCGCTGCCGCCACCACCTGCGCTGCTGACCTCAGCCCCTCCCCGGACCTTCTCCTGGGAGGCAGCAGAGCTCACCATGATGGTAGGGACTTGTACACACACACACACACACACATATATATATATATATATATATAT